ATACGAAACGAGCGTTATACATGTTAGAAATGAATACTACTAACGGTCAGCCTACAACAGAGTATAAACACTCATGTTTCAGCGTGAAAATATATTAAAATGACATTTATCACTCACAGTTACTTAATTTGCCAACTTGATTTTTCTTTTAATTGATTAAAAAGTAGTCACTGAACTGTCTATGATCCTTAATAACTTGTATCTTAAATGAAATGAATTTTTAATATTTTTTTTTTTTTTTATTGGTTGACCCTTTACTTAGTGGATTTTATCTCAATAGTTTCTAGTCGGAGATGAATAAATTGGAAATCAAATAATTCTATTTCTAGTTCGTTGACTCTACAAGGATCCTAAATATGCCAATTTAAAAATCTTCCTTTTCGTTCACTAACGCAACAAGAAAATAATAACTATGTGCCAATTGGCTTTGTAGACATCAGCTCGTTATACTTGTTATTCTTCGTCCAATCATTTCCAAGACATTTGTAGTGTATTCTATATTGCAAACTTTGTTTTATTATAAGATTTTCAAACAGTAAACTTTCTTGTTATTGTTTTGAAAAACAAGTTATCATTAGAGAACTTGTCAAGTATTAATAAAAAAAATGTTTTAAATACATTAAAACCGCAACCGTAAGGCATTACAAAATATAGATGCTAATATTATTTTATAATTAGTTTAAAATTATACGAAAAAAGAAAGTAGAAACTATTAAAAGGTATTTCGACTATGATTTTTTTTGTAATTATTATAATTAATATTTTTAATAACAAATATATGTAAGTTTGCGTACATTCATCGGAACTCTTCTCTGAAATTTTGAATCAATAGGTAATTTCACAGAATATTGTAATTTTATGAAAAAACATACGGGTTTTTTTAACGTTAAAATCAATTAATAATTTTTTTTTTCCGTAATTGAGCATATTGTGAGGTGCTATGGTTAATATTTCATGCCCCAACATTATAATAGTTTATCTTTCGCTTAACCTAAGCACTTTTATAGTGTATACACCATGCGCACGCTAATAATGTGCCACAATTATTTTCCTTTCTTTCTTCATTTTAATTTCCTGTGTTTAATTAGTGCGCCTCCGGTGCAATCGTGTCGGCTATAAATCCGCGCAGTTTTTTTTTTTTTTTTAGCTATACATGGCTCGAAAACACGGTTAGTATGTATATATTATATTATTACGGCTCGTTAACCCGCCAGAAGCAGCGTTGGCGATTATTAAAATAAACAATAAAAATGTAATACCAAGATAAAAATCGTCCGGATAAAAAAACGACACTTTGCTCGTGAACATTTAAATTGGGTTTTTTAGGTCGCAAAAATGTCTGAAATGGACAACGTAGCAACATGTATTTATAGGTTATAGCACATAGTTTGTTATAAGCAATAATAATACTTAATATCGCAAGAAGGGCAACATGTGTCGACGTGTCACGGACAAATTGAAGAATTTTCATAGTTAAAATAAACTATCACGCCACATGGCACGCACATGTTGACAATACACTGAGCGGAGAGAATAGAATCGCCAGTGGCGGCATATTCGAATCAAATCAATCAGCACTAATATTGCAGGACAGATGATTCCTTTCGTATGAATATTAAAACTCTATGATTGTTTTAAATTGCAATTTAAAATGCAAAAAACGATTAATTAAACATTTAAACTTGTTCGCTTTCATTATTTGAATTTATATTAGGCATTAACGGTGGCATAATTGTCTTATAAAATAGAGAGATATTATTCTTCCTATATTGTGTTTTTCACTTCTACTCGATTTTTAATTAGAAGTGTACATTGTCGAATGTAGAAGGGTTCGCGGAGTAATTCGAAAATTAATCCTACAGGGTTCGTTTGCTCTTTGTACACCACTCCTCGCCTTTGCCGACGACCGGAAAACAACGGAACGCTATAATAACCCTTTTTCCAACAGTAAATCCCTGTTTCTTAACCCCTCGCTTCCTGACGACGACGACGACTCACCCGAAGGCCACCAGGTCGTTTGCCGTTTAATTAAAACTAATCGGCCGGCTTCCCGATGATCGATTTTAAAGTTTTGCTGCCGACATAATTAAAAGTTGTAAAGATAAAAAGTCCGCTCGCGATATCCTACCTCGACTCAACCCCTGCACACTGTCTGTACACAGTACGATTGTTTGTTTAAAACTCATTAATGCAGCACGATCGTACAATAAATATTTGTAAAAACTTATCATTTTTTTAGATTTCAATAAGTAATTTGTTTTTATTTTGTTAATTACTACATATTGTATCGAACCGTGGCCATTCGATATCAATGACTCATTGGATAGGCTATAATTAAACTTTTGTTAAAAGCGTATCTCAATCGAATCGCTCTTGTACGCCTAACTGTTGGTAGAGAGAAGTAATTTACATTCTAATTAAATCAGACTATAGCGCAAACCTCCTTCCTCTACTCTTACTGTTTGTATAATATGTATATATATATATATATTAATTGTAAAGAGGTAGAGTAAGAGAAACGAGTCATCGTCGTTGTCGTCGTCAACGTCGCCCTGGTAACTTATGTGTTGTTGTATTTAATTGGGTTCTTCTCTTGCTAAATAAACTAAGTAACTTCGTTTTCCGTACACCGGAAGGAGAGACGGCTGGGATGACAAAATACCATTAACTAATAAGATTTTCAAAAACTTGTTTAACATTTTAAATAGAAATGTTTCTCGTGAAAAAGTTAAGAACAGATAATTTTTTCAATTAAAAATTACTATGGAAAAATATGTAAAGTCGTTTATTTTTATTGATAAATATTTTTATTGTTGTTAACGTTTTAAAGAACATTAAAGTTTTAAAATTAATAAGAAAAGCTAATCAACTAACAAACAAATACTAAAAAAAAAAAAACATACTGAGCAAAGATAATGTGATAATCAACGAGTAATTTTAATTGTGTTTTTGTACACCTATAGTGACATCAATTAAAATAACGATTATAATTAATTTTAAGGCATAATCCAGATGATGTTGTACCAGTTAATTGTCGACACCGGTCTCCTTCTGCGGAGGTAATGAACCTAAAACAAGGTTAACCGGAGAGCGAGGTAAAAAGATAAGACCGAAGGCAGTTTATTTAGCATTATACCCCTCTTGCCTAACCCACTGTCAAAGCCCCTAACAAACTAACTACACTCACGGCCGGAAAGTTTAAAAGCTTAATTTTCTTCGTTAATCGCTAGCCGACTTTTAATTACATTTTTTAAATTAAATTTACACTATCCGATTATATAATAAAACACAAGCGTTTCCTGTTATGTAAACTTTGTAAAACAAAAATATCTGTTATAGTGTTGGTGAAAAGTTGTCATAACCTACGGGCGCTTTTAAATCAGCTGTTATCTTCATAATTTAAGTTTATAAATAAACACTAGGTAATTATTTTTAATAAAAACTATACCGGGCTTAAAGTTTATTTAGTTTTCCATGAAAATCAAAATTCACAAACAATTTTGTCATATTTACACGACTAATAATTAGCCAATTATTTTTCGTCCGCTATGATGTCCGTGTTCTACTAAAACTTTAATGAATAACTGATCAACTATTATATCGACCATTCAATATTTTCAGCGAACAGTAAATATTTTACGTATGCACATAACAACGGGCAAATGTATTATTTTAAAAATATATTAATGTTTATTAGTACAATACTCAATACAATGGCTTTTGGATAACGCGATATAAACCGACGGGTTGAAACAAGAGCGTCGACCGATGTAATATTGGTTAGGCGGCGGCGACGTGCGGCACGTTCTTGGCGGTTAATTGTTTTGAGCGCGGGGGTAATTCATACCGATTGTCTAACCGGCGAGCACCAACAATGTGTTTAATTAATTCCCGGTATTTCGTAATTATACGCACTCGCAACATTGCCGTGCTCACAAACACAATCCATGTAATTGCGTTTTCGCACCCTGCTATACCATACACATATACGTCTATGTGTGCATATTAAACTAGACAATAATATAATATATATTCATGCACCGAGATGTTATTAAAATTTCTCCTTTGCCGCCGCTAATAATATAATACGTTGAGATCTACAAACGCCTCGGCAATCGACGCACAATGGACTCTTTGATTTCATATACATCCAACTAAGCATATAAATTTATATAGCGGCCAGGAATCGGGATTCTTTTTCATCGTTTTGCCCCCTCAAATTTTATTTGCGCATGTGTTAACCCGAGATGGCTTCGTTGTAATTAGGAACCTTTTGTGCGAACGTATACGAAAGGGATAACGAACAAGTATTCAATAGAGGGAAATACCACTTATTTTTAAATATATTCATTTTCGTTGTCAATCAACATCATTTAACGTATGAGACACGAAATTATTCTCTTTTGCCGCTATTTTATTAACTTCAAAGAGTTTTTAAGCGAAAAAAATAATTTAGTGTATGAGGAAAATTAATTTTATACAGATGACTATCATAATTTAATTGTTGACAATTTTATTTAATAATACATAAAAAAATATTTTGTTACGAGTATACAACTCAAGGGCTTGCAATTACAAGTCAATTTTTTTATTAAGGTAATACAAAATATTAATTCCTGGAATATTGTAATTTTAGTGATCAAAATATTTTAGTATAGAGTATGTAATGTGAAATAATAATTTAATACAACTAATTTTGATTTGAATGGAAGTTTATGAACACATACATCGAAATTCCTCTTTAAAGCAAAATCAATTATAAAATTGTCTAGACATACGATGTTATTAATCATCAGAAGCCCGATGAATTAAAACCAGTGGTCTCTATTACTAAAGTTACTCATGTGCGTGCTAATACCATTATTAATCACAGCGTGACGGCCAGTAAAATCAAGAATCTGTAATGAGTTTTTTGAGATAAATATCCGTGGCAATTATTTTTTTGTCACGATGACTACTTTTAAGTTCACTATTGAATTAATTTGTTTTTATTCACTCACCTTTAGTACCGTGACAATTAACTGATTCTAGACTCTCTAATATACAACGTATAACCAACAACTTAATGATTTTTTATTTTCACAAAACACAAGTATAAATAATTAACACCAATGATCGATTCGGTTAACGAACTGAACAATTAGTTTGGTATTACATAGAAAAAGACACGTGCGCACGAACCAAACGCCGGTCGTCGACTGAAACGATCGTGTGACGTTTGCAGTGTTCACTAACATAGACTCAGTTAAGGTTGGGCACGCGGACCGTCTTTGTGCCAGACTGACAGACGTCGCCGTAGCCGGCCTGAGGGTTCCCGCGCAAAACCACTTCGTCCTGTATCGACACCGGTCGTCACTCCTTTCGATTCCGACTGATACTCTTATCGTTACCATTACTGTCCTTAGTAACTGATAGTAATTATTTTCGGTAAATTAAATTATAGATTTTGTCACATTGAACGAAGTTTTCACATTGCACTATTTAAAAAAATGTCAAATTATTCATTTTCTTAAACTGAATAGTAGAGTTATTCACGAACACACGAATCAGAATTAGTAAATAACTGTTTAAGCGAATAAAATTTTCATATAATCATTGAATTAAGAACAAAATAAAAATATTGTAATTTGAATTTTGTATGCACAGAAATAATAGATTTTTCAACTATGAACATAATAAACTAAATTTCACTAAAACTACAGTAAACCAAAGAAAAACATACTTTAACTGAATATACATTATACTATACATTTCTAATTTAAAGTATTATGTGTACATAATATTAAAATAATTAAGTACCAGTGAAAGTTACCAAGTTGATATCTTTATTGGAACACTAAAAGTTAAAATGTAAAAATCTTTGACACAATATTAGCGATAGAATTTGTAGCTTTTTCTTTATTACTAAAGTGTATCAAGCTTAGGATACAATTCCTACGTCACAGAGTTCAAAAATACATTATTTTAGTACACTTGTAATAACTTTTATGAATAAATGTATATTATTGGTATATTTTATAATTGGTAGTTAAGTAATTTTTGAAATTTTTAGCGCACAAAATTCATTTAAAAAAGTTTTTATTTAAATGTTTGAATATATTATTCACTATTTAATTTATACATTCTCCCTGGCTATATTTTATTGAATTAAAATCGAAGGGGTCAGTGAATAAAGGTGTTAACTAAAAATGTACAGAAATGCTACTTTTTAATTATATATTAAAAAGCTATGAATTATATAATAGTCAATTTATGAAATAACTTGAAGTGGGAAAATATGTTTGGTAACATTGCAATGGTAAAAAAATAGATGTTAATAGATTTCTAAGTATTGTTATTTAAATTTTTATTAACATTTTAATTAATTTTATTAATATTTTATGGATTTTTTAATAAGTTTGTGATGAAACGGCAATATGTAAATTTTGGGTGTTATACAAATAAGATAACTGAACAAAATAAAAATTATTTTCAACTTAATATAATTAAAAATTAATTATAGAAATAAAATATACTTAATAGGAAAAAAAATTTATAAACTAAATTCAATTTTTTATATAAACGTTTTTGGAAAAAATTCTTGGAAGCGTCCTTTTTCAATATTGAAATATGTATATTTTCAAACTGTTCAATATAATATTGATAATAAACTGTTCAATATAATATTAATTTAAATAATTTAGAGTGATAAGCTTTATTCTTTAGTTCATAAAGATCACTTAGTGCAAGTTTTTTTAACTTAAGTCATTTAAAATAATAACCCTTTATAAAATTTTCTATTTTTTTTGCAAAAATAGTTGTTATCAGAAAAGCAGGAAAAAACCTCAGTGTAAAAAATTAAAAATAAAATCATTAATTTCTTTTGACAATAGTAAAAAAATGGATGTATTAACTAAAGGCTAAGTAAAAGGTTCCATAATTGAAAGATATCAATTTTATAATATGTGTTTGATTGGGATGCTCCCTAATAAATGCAAATTAAATATCTATTAAGCAGGGATTGTAAACATTACCGATCTTAGTAAAAACTATATTTCCAGTATTTTTTATAATTTGTGTTATTATTTGTTTGATAACTTGATCGTTTTTATTTCAATTTTTTGATGATATTAGGAAAAAAAGCTTATTTTTAAATTATTTTTCCCAAAATTTTCAATCATTTTGATCTATAATTATTATACATTAATAGTTAACATACAATTTGATTTGTTTAATTTATATAATTAGTTAATAAATATATTTATTTTTTATTAAAAATATATAATTTTTAAAAACTTCAAAGTGAAATATCTCTAACTCATCTCTAATTCCGTGTAAATATTGATACTATAAAAATAGTAGTATTTAGTATAACAGATAATCATTTAAAAGGAAGAAGTTAAAAGTTTCAAATGCTTAGAGGTAATAATAATTATAACATGACAAAATTATTGAGAATGTGCAAAATATTTATTTATATAGTGACTCTTCTATGATAAAATCTATTACATACTATAGTAAATACCTCCAAGTAAAAAAAATTTAAAAACTGTAAAAATTTCCAAGGTGGAATATCTAAATATTAATGTCATTTAAAAAATAAAGTTTCGCTAATGCATAATTATTGTTTTTCAAATGATTTTATTCTATTTATATTTAAATCTAAAATTATAATCTCTTAAAATAATCCTTATATATAAATATTCCTTAAATTTTGAAACATTAGTACATGTATTGACTGGCACTATTCAGCAATATACATTTCATAGTTTGTATTATCAATAATGTTAGTATATACTATTTTTGAAATATTATTCTGAAAAAAAAATGTTGTGTTGTAGCTTTATATTTATTGAAAATTTATTAATTATGTAAAAAATAAATGTTTACAAAAAATTATTAAATAAAATTTTTGAAAAATAAATATGGAGACAAATTAAATAGTAATAACCCAAGCAAAACTTTTATTATAAAACAACCAACCCAACCAGTATTGATATCAGGCTAAGCATTGCGTCAGTGCTGGTAACTATCTATTGGCTAGCCCTTAGTGCTGGTTGATGCATAGATCTAGTATTGGTTGTCAGTACTTGAGTACTATTGCTGGCAGAGTATTGGTAATACAAAACATATCAGTACTGATATATTAGTATAGCACAACGTTATAAGCCCAGTTTTTGATGATAATATATATCTGGGATTTTAGACATACAACTTTATAGAATATACTGAGTCAATATGTGTTTAGCATTGACAATGGTAACATTGTTTCTGAAATATGTATCCACGATTTTTTATTAATTTTTTGTGGCTTTTAGCTGAATATTTTTTAATTTTAAATAATATTAGCCACAAGTGATCAATTTTTTTATTATAAAATTGTAATACAAATTCAATATATAATTATATCATATAGTTATTTTGATTTTATCGAGTTTGAATTAATATACATTACCAAAAATGTTTGTGGCGTCATAGAAGTTTTATCTAATAAAAAATAACAGTAAAATTCAAAGCATATTTTTGATTCTCTCATACATTGGTCTATTCCTTCTTCAAACCTTAATAACTGATTGACTTCTTTTAGTTTGTTGCAAATTAGTTTTCCAGCATCTTCGTAGAATTCATCAAGTTTATTATTTTTCATGATTTTATTTAAAGAATTGTTTAGTTTAGTATTTAATTCAATGCTAACTATTTTTAATTCGTCTTCTAAAAAATAATTGTTTATAAAAGAATCGAAGTATATATCAGTTAAAAAGGGGATAAGTCTAGCTCTTCATTATAAACAATTATAAGTAAATTATTACTTAGTTTCAAAGCCAATTAATACAAATTTGTGCTTGCAGCCATAGTCTAAAATTATTATTGTAATATTTTATTTAAAATTATAACATATTTAAAATATTTTAATGATGTTTGCATCATCATTTTTATACATAATACTTTCACTAAGTATTCTCTGTCTTACTCTTAATAACACACTAGATACTTTTTACCACTTTACCCAATCGCACTTAAACGATCTTAATATCCTCATCAATACCACTGTTCTTGTGCACAATTGATCCTATATACCATAAAGTTTCCACCTCTCCTATCAAGTACTCGCTTAATATCACTGGTCTCCTTATTTAACCTATCTCATGTTCTCCTTTATTAAACTCGTACTCTACATACTCTTGCTTATTCTTATTTCATAACCTTCATGAGCTAAAGTCCTACAACTCTAGCCTTTGATTTATTACTCCCTATTTTCTTTTATTAACACTATATCGTCAGCGAAAACATGCACCACGGTACCTCACCTTGTATTTCTATAGTAATTATACCTATCATTATAGGAAATAAGTTTACACTTAAAGAGGAATCTTGGTTCAGTTATACTCTTACCTTAAAATCTTCTGTTACTCTTCCACTATTCTCTTACTTCTTAAAATCTATATAATATACTTCCTTTTCATCTTCCTTTGCATTTAGCCTATCCAAAAACTCATCATATTTCTTTAACTTTACCTCATCGCACATTTTGCATAAGCATCTGTATTTTTCTCTTATTTCAATCTCCTGTAAAACCCTGAACTATTTTTTTTTACTCTTTATGATTTTTTGTATGTCCTCAATCCACAAGCAAGTTTCTTTGTTTCCTGGCATTCTACTCCTACTCTCACTAACAATCTTCTTTGCAGTATTCTTTATATAAACACAACTCTCTTTCACACACCATTTATGTCTCTCTCGATATTCCACACCGTCCTCTCATTTACCGTCATTAAAAGCTGTTTTTCATTTCTCCTTCCGATTTCCATCACCGGAGTATCGATGTTTCTTCTGTGTTATTTTTGTTTTTGTATATTCCCTTCCCACTTCACCACAACTCAATTACCATCAGTATGTTGTGTAGTTACATTCTTACTTGATATAGTTTTACACTCCCTTTCTTTCATATAAAATTATCAATCTATGATATATTACTCCCACTATTATAAATTGTATAATGTTCTTCCCTCTTTCTAAAATAAGTATTAACCAAAATAAGATCATACGTTACTGCGAAATCCAGGATTCTTTCTCCAACCTAAATCGTCCCACTAAAACCATACCCTGTACTCATTCATATCCTCTCCTTTCATTACTCTCAATATATACATTCATATTAACACCTATCACCACATCCTAATTACCATATATTATTTGCAAACACTTATTCATTTATCTCCAAAACACTTCTTTATCTATTTAATCACATTTTACACGTGGTGCATAGGCACTTAATACATTTAATTTTTCTCCTTTGAAAATTAATTTTACGGCTTTAATTCTGTCACTTTTCTTAACTACTTCTACTACTTTATTTTTCATCTCCTCATCCATTATTATCCTTACATCATTCTTAGTATTGGTCTTTCCTAAATATTATTTTATAACCCTCATCTATTTCCCTAGCTTTCTCTCCCTTCCACTTAGTTTCCTGCTCACAACAAATGTTAACTTTTCTCCTCTTTAATACTTCTACTAGGCCTTGGAAGTGTTCTAATCTCCTATCCACAGGGACGATTTTAAATATACTTTTAATTTTTAAAAAATATTAACCACATGCATTTAATTTTTATTATATTGTAATATCTATTATTAAAACATCGTACATTATTTAGATAATTTTAATATGCATTTTATTGAATAAAAAAAATAATTGCTGATTGTGTAAATAATTTCCTTTAGTCATATAACTAAACAACGAATAATTATATTACAATAACTTATATGGTATTTTGATGTACGTGTTAGGGCGTACCTCTAGGTAGGATAAAGGTCAAAATTAACAAAGTTGAAAATAGTTTTCTTGTAAGGATATAGTTATATTTCAATTAGGTTGGGTAGTAAAAATTTATTTTCCCATTCTTCATAGAAGTAAGAAAATAATTTGAAGACTATCGATATTGTCAACTTTAATAATTCATTAATATATTTATTAATGGCAACGTATATTTTTAACAAGATTATATCATAGATAAGTGTAATTAAGAAAATGACTGATCGGTAACAACTTTTAGACCTGTACTTTAAAAGTAATTCAATTTTTTTACCTAGTCGGGAGGAAGAGTATGACTCTGAAATGACTATTGATAAAAATAGCAAGACCACTCTTCATCTCCAGACATTATTTTAAATTGTTAAATACATCTGAAATACCAGTAATAGTTGTTATCGACTAGTAATTTTCTTAATTAGATTATTTTCTATTTTATAAATTAATTAAATATGTATTTTGTTAAAAAAAAAATAAAGTTGACAACCCTTTAAGTTATAAGGGATGATTTTAAAAATTAATTTATAACTGATAAATCAAGAAATATACATAACTAAAAAAACCAAAATTTCTATGAATACATTATTGTTTTTATTTTGCAAATAATCGAATGGTTTATAAAGCTGCATTTCAAGGTTCCCAGTCTATTAAAAATAATTTAGTAAAAATGATGATAACTCAAGTTTTTAGAATAACTTAACAAAAGTTTATAAGTTCATATAAATCTGTTCACTGTCTATTAAAAGAAATTGTGTTTGTTCTAATACACTTAAGTTATTAAGAAATTTTCAACTAAAATTACCACTTATTTCTTTTATCATAGAATATATATTTAGTAAAGATAAACATTTATGTAATGTCTTCCTTGCCAACTGCTCACTATTTACATCTACTGCTGATAATGTAGTCATTAGAACCTACACAGTAAAAAATAAATTTTTATTGAGATTATTTTTAACACTAAGAATTTAATAATTCCTAAGCTATTATAGGAATTTTGATTTCAGATTATGTAAAATTAAAAAATAAGATTTTTTTGAAAATTGAGTGAAACATAATTAAATTTAATTGTTATTTATTAAAACCAGAACTTATATTATAAAAATGAAAAAAATCTGAACTGAATTTATAACGAAATATATCCTAATCGGCCGTAGATCAACATTGGGGAGTCTAAAAAATTTTATTATTTTTCAGCTTATGTTATTTTTTTGGTTGGATAGTACTATAAAGATTATTATATACATAAAAAAAAAAAAATAAAAAATAATTTAATTCTAGTATTGAGAATTATTATCCTTTCAATTATTAAAAATGTTATTTTTGATGAAATTTTCATATTCTTAAAAAATAAAAACAATTTCAAAAAAGTAACGCAAAATATTCGAGACATCAAAACTTCTTAGAATTTTCAAAACATCGCGGACTATTCTGTATTATTTGCACAAAATTATGGGTGATATAATTAGTACATTTTTTGGATAAATTAAAAATTGAACTAACTTAAAATAAATCAATTAAATTTATGCAATACTTACTGATAGACATAATGTTAAAAAAAATAAAATCATTCTTTTACGGAAGTATAAATAGAAAATTACGTACTATATCAAATTATACTAAAATAATTAAAATGATAAGACAATAATAAAATTTCCTCCCAATTGTATAATCATGAATAAAAAATTATTTTCATTATGTACGGTTAGTCTTTAATAATATTTCATAGTGATAAATAGTTGACAAAACATATAAAAAATAATAAAATATATTTTTTAATAGTTAACAATATTAAAAAATGTTTTATTATATTTAGAATCAAGTTTAAAATAAGACAAAATAAAATAACTATTTAAAATCAAATTTACTTAATATACAAAAGTAAAAAAAAAAAATTATTGAACAATTGTTGATTCGATGTATTCATACTTAGGAATCGTAATTTTATTGACTTTTTAGTGTTAAAATTATTGTATACGTTTTTTTTAATGTAGAAAGATAAATAAACTTATTATAATTCCATTAATCTAAGATGAATAAGATACGAAATAGGTTTTAATATATTTTAAACAAAAAATTTTTTATTTAATCAAATATAGCAATCGATTGGCAAATAAAATTTAGCCTCAAAAAAATTAACCAGATTAGTCCATCATTTTTGCAAAAAAAAACAAAAATTTGATTGAAAATAAGAAAAGATAGAAGTGCACAAATTTTCAAATATCAGCCTAAAGTTGTGATATGAAATATGGTATCAAAGAACTTTTAGGATAAACTCGAGCTCTTAATCACGCTTTTAAATTTTATCGATTATCCAAAACTTTATTAATTTTGACTCATAATGATTTTGTTCATTGAATATATTTCTATTCATTTTTCTGTATAAGCTATTATTTTTATTTTTTTAAATTTGAAATATATTTTTTTTAAATCACGCTTTGAAAAATACATTTAAGTAAGTTACAAATTATCGTTTCAAAATTTCATTATTTATATACGAATTTTTTTAAAACGCCTATAACGCTAAGAACAAACAAACGATAATTTTGTTTTTGTGCTAGAAAAGCAATTAGACTAAGACGGTAACAGCACGGTGCTTTTTAAATAAAATATTTTTATACGTGCAAAGAGAGTATAATGTTGTACAGATGATCTTCGTATAATGTTATTTAGAAAAAATATCCCAATTACAAATTGTTGACGCCTGGGCTGTTCTAAAAAATCCCAAGTAAATATGGGGAACAGAACTTCGCCGTACGGTTTAAAATAGGGGCAACTAATAATCAGCAAAAATTTCTTAATCAATTTAAAATTTGTTAAATGAAAAATATTTTTTGTTTATCCAAAATAGGATTGTTTAACTTAATAAATATAACGAAATAATTCAAATAAAAACGACCAATTTTTTATTATTGCTGAATTAAATAATTAATAAATATGTTAATCCATACTACTTACATTTAGTTATGCTCCATATGAATAAAATTAATTTATAATGGTAATACAATACCCGCAGTTTTGTTGTAATAATGTACCAGCCATAGTAAAAGAAAAAAAAATGAAAACAACTGTATTTAGAAAATAATATGGATAATGTATTTTGACATAAAACTGGAAAAACGTTTTTTTCTTTCAATAATACAAAATAATAACACTTAACTAACAAGCCAATTTAACCTAACACTGTATAATTTTACAACAGGTAAATACATTATATTTTGAATAAAAAACGACCGAACAACACGGTAATAAGCTGATAAGGCGTCCTAACAGCTGATAGCGCACAAGCACTACCAGCACACCCAATCAGTGCAGCTCTCACCCTTGGCGCAAACACAAATTAAAAACTACAATTAAACAATTTAGTATATTATTATTGTATTTTGTGAACTGCACTTGATGGAATTAATAAAAAATTGATAAGTAATTATTGGAATAAAAACAAATGAAACTGTATAAGAGTAAATACATAAAGTGATTAAAAAAAATTAATTAATTAAATTAACTTGTTATTTTTAATAATTTGAATAAATTAAAAAAAATGAATACAAACGTGAATTTTTGTTAATGGTATTATTATCCCAAATTTTTCACTGAAGTTTTAAGCAGTTAACAAAGAGTCAATATAAAAAAGAAAATTGTATTAAACATTTAACTTATTTAAACATTTTTATTTTAGTTTCCTAATTCTATAGATTAATTTTTTACAAAATAGTATAAATTGTATAATCTAAATTCCCAAAATATTTTTACAAAATACTTTAAAACAATTTAAGTTAAATACTATATTATTATATTATAGAAGTATATTTTTATTTACAAAAATATTTTTGAATACTTAATTATAAGTATTTTAGGTTTTTTTTAACTAATACAACTTTTTAAGTATAATTTTTTATACTTTAGAGTAAATTAACTAAATGTAATAATGTAACAACAAATTTAAAAATCGTATTAAGAAGATTCAGAATTATTTAAATAATAATTATGTCATAATTATTACAAATAAATAATGTAATTTAAAATTACTAAATTTATTTATTTGCTCACATGAAACAATCACAGTTATTTTTACGTTTAATAAATTCATTAATAAATAGTGTATTTATTTTTTTATATTAGTATAATTTTTACATTGCTTAATAATTAAATGGCAACTAGATAATACTTTATAAGCTCAGCTGTTGTACGGGCATATCAAAATAGAAATTAATTAAAATATGTTTCACATGTTTGCGAGTTTCGCTGGATATGCAAATAAAAATTTAATTTAACAAGACCTATATAGCTTTCAGTAAAATGTAATAACACAATTTAATTAACCGCTTAATATGTACTTGACCATTTGTTATTGCTTGGTGTGCGTTTCGAAGGCTCTTGGAACTAATTTCAACTTGGCAGCCTCGAGTCAAAACATCGGTTCATTAATTAACGTCATATTAAAATACAAACTTGTGTTCGTTCTAATTAACATAGAAACACTATCGTAACATTTACAATATTATACTCTTGGGAGTACTAAATTTAAACCTTCATTAAAAATCTATTTTCAGGATGCGACAGGAATTTTTGTGAACATATCAAAGAAATATTAATAATGAATAAGATTCATTCGCAAAAATTATTTAAATTATATATTTTTGGACAACCCTTGAAGCTGTACTGTTATTTTTGACAACTTTACCCTCTCAACTGCATTTAAAACTCAAGTCGCTTTTAAAAAGCAATACACTTTAATTATCTTAAAGGACAAAATATACATGTTAAATATTAGAGTTCAAACTGAGTGATGATATAAATATTAAAATTTTTTCAATTATTCTTTTAACTAAAAAAACTGTATTGAATAACGTTATTTGATGATGTTAACACAATAAGAAGTGAGCTGTGTAATAATATTACATTAATAAATTTTTATATTATAAAAATTTTAGAATATTAAAATATTTGTTTTGTTTTAGTTTTAAAGGTAATAGCTAATTTCATTTAAAATTAAAAGTTTTTTTGTGTTACGTTTAGTTATTTATAAATTTTGAATTTTTAAAGTTTTTCAGGAACTTTAAAAGTATGATTAAATATTATATGAAAAATGTGGGAAAACATTATTTTTAGTAAAATAGTGAATCCTTTCCAAAATTGAATGTGTGTAAATTTAAGATTTAATTATGATTATTGTAATGATAATACTGAAATGTTCAATTTACGAAAAATGTGAAGCGCATTAAAAATTAATTTATAGAATTTTTATTGTTTATTTTACAAACATTTATTTAAGGACACTAAGTTTGAATTTTTGCACTCGGATGTTTAAAATATAAAAAAGTTTTTTCGAGGTGAAAATAAAACATTAAAGACGTCTTGCGTCAAAAGAATGAGTTTTTTTGTGAACAATAGTTAATTATTTATGCTATTAAACCTTAAAAGTTATTTTAAACAAAAGATAAATTAAATAATTAATTTTAAGAATTCCATTTAAGTTTTTCTTATTTTTTATTACTTTAGTCTGGAGTTTATTTAATGGCAGTAATATAAAGTAATTTAACGTCGCACTAAGTATTTTTAAAGGAACTTTCAATCCTTCAGAAGAGTTATACTTTAATAAAATATAATTACTATAAATTTAGAATTAATTTAAAATGTATTTGGTATGAGTTAAATGAGGAAAATATTTAATTAAATTTTGTCACCTTATAATTTTATATTTAACCTAACTCGTGTTATCATTATAGTTGCCTCTATAAATATTATTTTATGAGTATATATTCCGGTACAAGTAGTCATTCTTTAATAAAATTAATTTAATTGTAAATTAATAATCAACAAAAAATATTATTTTAAGCTTAAGGCATTAATTTTGATCAAGATTCGATTTGGTAGTACGGTTTATTTGTAATACAAACATTTTTTTAAGTACAAAGAATGTAATCACATTACAAGAAAACATATTCATTTATAATAGATGATGACTACAATAAATAATAGTGAATTTCTCATGTTGGTTTTAAGTTTACAAAGTAAATATAATTATAATCGGTGTTTTTGCGCGACGGGAATCTTTGCGGGTACTTTAGTAATAAATAATATTAATGTTTTTAAACATAGTGTTTAGTATAAATTTGTGGCCAGCCGTGTTGAGGATTAAATAATGGCATTTTATGTATTCCACAAAAAGGCATCTTATGCGCACAATGAAACAGGGTTGAGATTTATTTGAAATGCTAGTTTAGAAGAAAAACCACCCATTTTAGCAAAAAAACAAAAGAGTAAAAAAATTAAAAAGTTGGTACCACTATATAATAATAATTGGCCTTTTTCGGATCTCGCTTCTTACATGCCTACAACAACTTTCTTTCTTTTTTTTTTACGCCACCTCACGCTACTGTTATTGTTATTGTAAATTTTAATTAAAAAATGCAATTAATTCTTGTTATACAAATTACCAGGTGGCCCGTTTAATTAAGAACTCGTGCCCTCACGCGACAATTTTAAGTGAAATTAATGCACCAGTATCGTAACTGCTGCTACGCAGTTCACACGTAATGAGTGTAAGACGGGCATTAATGAGCAAATAATAATAACACGAACCTGATAATAATAGTGTTACTGTTACATGTTTTAACGACTTTTCTCATCGGCGCATGCTATTATAATATAATAATCGAAACAAATGCATTATAGATATTATTCATTATGCATATGGTCCCACCGAATTCTAATAATGAAGTTTTTTTTTTAGAGTAAAATTTTGTATTTCATAAAGGCAAACTAATGTTAAATCATTATAAAAATTTGACAGTTCTGAATATCGAATATCATATTACATCAGTAACAGTTATAATTATAATTTGTATACTAAAACGGTGTTATGAATTCGGACTATAAATGCAAATCATTAGCTGATTTATTCCACTGTTTTTCACTTTATTAAATTAATAAACGTTTAAAATATTTAATTTCGTGAAGTAAATAATTCGAATTATAACTTTTCTTATCAAATTTGCAAGTTAACATAGTAATTAATTGACTTTAAATGAACTTATCCATATTAAGATTGTCATATGACATTGAAAATTAAATAAAAACAATAGTATTGTGAGATTTTTGCGCAGTAAGTGTGTAAGAACCAACTTCAACAAGTTAAATTAAACGCTATAAATTTTGTTTGTACTTTCAAGTAAGCGATATGAATTATGATTTTGACTGTATGATGTCGTAATTCAATTGTAAAACCATTTATAAGTTGAAATATTTTAAATGAATAAATGATTGACAAGAGAAATTTTAATTGAATAGATGTGTCATTGACAATTAATTTATGTTTGATATTTTACTTTCGAAAATTTTTTTGAAAATAGAGCCAAATAAATGTTCAAAATATTTTAGTAATAAGGTAGGTGCGGATAATAACTTTTAAGTTATATTAGATTTTATGTAAGGTCTAGTTGGGCCTAATAAAAGCTAAACGTTATTACCCGAACCTACTTTACATTATTATAAAAGTGTCTTGAATTTAAGTATCACCGACATATTTAAAAAAATGCTCAGTTCGAAAAAGTCCGGAAACTATATTGCCGAATGTAAGTAATTAGTACAAACAATTATATTGATTGATATTTTTAGTGTATAGTTCTTAATATTGAGGGATACGTTCCTCTTATCTTGATTTAAAAAATTGTTTTTATCCCATTGCAGTCGTAGTTGTAGCGATCGTCGACTTCTGTTATATATTTTTCATAAATTAACGAAACGGCCGCTGCCACCGCAAAAGAGATCTATTGCCAATCCAATTAAATTGTGCTTTTAAAGCGTGTAACTTGGTAGTGGTGTGCTTTAACTAGGCGAACCAATCATCATATAGTCTCCGTATAAGGCATTTTCCATTATACATTTATATAAATATATATAGACACTAACACAGACGCACACCTCTAAAGGGCGTAGCTCAATTTTGTTAATGTTTTCCCTCGCTACCGAACATGTTAGTGGCCACGTGTTCCCTATCTAGTGAATCCATAATGGAATTATAATTGAACGAAATCTTGTTCGTTCTTTCAGTTTAATAAGAGATAAGAGCATCGTCTAAAAGATTAAAAAATTGAAACCACATAAAAGTATTTTGTTGGAAGTAATAGAAGTACAATGTCACCACAACAAAAAACTCTAACCTATTTTAATTTGGAAAACCAATCATATATAATTTGACTTC